GTGGGGATGGACCATCCATTGGTCAATACTTATAACTCACTGTCCTTATAGACGTGATTGATATCATCCTTAGTGTAAGTATATCAACAGCAAATTAACTAATCGCAGCAGTAGCGGATCAGATAGGCTCCACCTGACGTTGTTGATCTGTAAGTCGCGTATTTCTTTCATGATTATTAATTGCTCGCTGCGAACTCTGATATCCAAGATGGCTCCCTTCCCGCCCTCTGTTGCTTATTTTGCGCTGTCACGCTCTAGAAGCATTTATATAGATAAGGATACAGTCTAATACAAGAGTACTAATAAATGCTATATGATATACACCTTGCTTATACCCGGTATGTACATTGTAAAAAAAGTACAGGCTGTGTATACTTAAATGACTTCACTATATTATTAACTATTTTTATATGGATAAATGCCGTCAAGGCCAGGAGCGTATCTGAGTCTGTGGTCGGGAGGAGGGTGGGGGCGGGTGGGTGAGGCTGGAGGGGGCGAGGAGAGGGGCGCGTGACAGGGGCATCTAAATCAGCAAAAATAAACGTTCAGTCCTTTTTAAAAGAAGCATACCATTAGAACCGCATTGATTATGCCACAAGTGTGACGATATATCAGCAGCTAACTGTGCACTCTTGTTGTTATGCTTAATATATGTACATTACCTTATAGCCAAACGCATATTAGTTTGTCCATTATGATCACTGGCTGGTTACTGTGAAAAGTTTCTAATTGAATATCGCGAGACTCGCAAGAAATCCGAGCTTGACTAAGCTACCAGCCGCTACACTGATCCGACTCCGCGGTGATTAAGGGCGATCACGATATGGATCTTGACGAGATGTTCTTAGTTTGGCTGCGGAGGGCTTAAAGATTGGCTCTGAGAGGTCATTTTGGCCGATCGATAATTTTGATATCGGGAGCAGCATCGGTCGGTATTAGCTGTCGGCGGCCGTTATCGACGCGATCTTCGAGCGATAGGTGCCGTCAGCCATCCCGACCTCGACGCCCTCGCCTTGAACAGTAAATTGACCTACTTCACATGAGCGATCGCGCTCATTGGTTGAACTACGCATTCGAATGGAGTGGCATTCGGAGAACCATGGGATAATTCACTCCGACGCTTAGTACCACTTGCTAAACATTACCGCTTGGAACGCCGACCTATAGGCGCGCATGCGTTTTGCGACGCAACTTTGAGTCGGACAGTGTGCGGTGGCCTCCCGATCGATCGGGATCGGGTCGGATAGTGTGCGGGGCGTTAGTGCTGTGCACAGTGCAAAATCGGATAGTGTGCGGCTAGCATAACTTGTTTACAGTTTCGAAACCGCATACGGCGAAACGGGTGTGATACAGATTTATAGTGCACCGGACATTTCCGCACGCATGCTCGGCCGTACGCAATGCTAGCGATAGTACAGTACCGTAACTGTATACGTAACAGTAGCTCTGATTGTAATGAACGTGGAATCCACGTACGGACGCTAGTGATAATGAAGTAGGCTGTGTTGGGGGCCAACACTATGGGGGGATCACGGACTAACCACGGCCACAGACTAAACATGGAAAGCAGACGGCACTACGCGTATTTACGTATATTGGTCAAACGAATACACCCGTGTCCGAAATTAAAGACATGTGGGTACCCGTTCATTAGCACCCACGTTATTTACTTGTGCCTCAATACCAAGAATACACCCAGAGATACATTTTACTAGCTCATTAGTCGTTATAAGCATCCCGGGACAAACAATTCTCTGCTCAACACCTGTAGCAACATGTGACGTCACCTAACCGTTTCGAGGCTATTTTGCTTGGCAAGCAATTTAGCATTGGCGCCAGATTACCAGATTTACGAATTTCAATTAGACATTTCTTAGTAATTAGCAGTGATATTGGACAAACTAATACGCGTTTGGCTATAAGGTATATGCACTTATTAACTACACAAGGTGCCAGTTACTGTAGCATTCGTCAACTTTGCATAATCAAAGGGCCTATTATGCCTTTAACAGTCAACAAATCTATGTTTAACCCTCTTGAGGGTCAAAAGGTTATCAGAGACTTACTCTTCGCACGTCAGCGGAAAGTATATTTCATCGTTCTTTCAATAAAGTGATAGAAATGGTAGGTCAGCGCTGAAACAAAAAAGTTTTGCACTCGGTCCGTTAGACCATGTCCTTCCCCCTCCATTGACACGTCTTAACCTTTGACCCTTGACCCCCAAATTCGACATCCCGAGTCCTTTTCGCGATCCTCCCCACCCCTACGTCACGAATATCAAGACCGTACGTCGAGCGGTTAAGATTTGTGCCCAACTGTTGACGGACGGACAATCATGCGATTCTACAAGCTGCATCCGACTTCGTCAGCTAGATTTGTAGGCAAAGTATATATAATAGTGTGTATGTAGAAGATGCTCTGGATTATGTCCATTAGAACGATAATAGATACTAGTTGGAT